AAATGCAGAGGTATGCTCACTCTAGTCAACAGCCCTTGTCCCGCTCTGAATTCTCTCCTACAGAAGGAGCCATTCCAAACTCAGCATTAGGCAATCATTGTTCCATAGACTGGTATTACAAACAGGGAACATTTTTATTATCCCATATACCACTAGGTGATAACTGTTCCATTCATTTTTTTTAATAGCGACTCCTATGGCACATGGGGATATAGCTGTATGTGGCAGCTAAGGTGTCAAAGAAATGAGCTAGAGTTTCAGCAGAGATAAATCAGGACAAACCTACTTAATCAGCATAGCTGTGCTGATTAATACCACCTGAGGATCTGGTCTAATGTTTGTAAAACCTTTGGTCAGAGAATTTGGTGCGAGAGAATTTTGCTGCTATTCCTTGCACATACTAGCTTAGATTAAAAAAGAAACAATGAAAACAAGTATAACTTTTCAAAATGCCCTATTTGGTACATTTCTTTTGCTTGCTCAAGTGTCATCTAGGAACATTCACACAACAGAAACACCAAGCAACAGCTTACACAGAGTCTAGATTTGAATCTTTCAAAGACTTACCACTATATCAGATACTCACACGTGGTATTTGACATAATGTGGCTTAATGTACAGAAGTTAAGCGTCAATATTTTTTGCATTATTTTACCTCCAATGCAGAATATTAATGTTAGTGGCTAAAAGGAAGATCTGAATGAAATCCAATCCAGCATCTTTTGAAAGCCATTTTTAGATACCTAAATGTTGTGTACATCAGTAAGAGGCATTCTGAAAATGTACATGCTGGAAGAAGCAATTCTATATTTAAAAAGTCTATAAAGTAATATATTGGTCATAATTAAATACTAATCCAGGAAAGTCCCCATGTCACAGGACCATTTTTCCTGGCCAAAACCAGCAATATCCCGGTAAACACCAAACCTAACTCTTTAAGCCTTTCCCCCTCTACATGGGTATAATACAAAGAGATATTCTCCTTTTCACATCCATGCCAGATTGAAGGCTTTATAAAGGGCAAAATGAACTTTGTAGGTTTCCCTTCAGAAAGGAAAGAACACTTCTGTCAGTCTTACTAGAGAAGTGACACTGCTCACTATCCCTCCCAGGCAGCCCAATCCTGAAATCTTTCTTCAGCAATTTTTTCTATTGATTTCAAGAGACATTTTACCTGCATAAACTCGGCAGGTGCAGACTCAGAGATACAATTCCACCTTATTCCTTGGCAAAGAGAAAAAGAAAAGCTACACACCATTTAAAGTAAATCTTTTTCTATAAACAGAGATGTGCCCAGTGTTGATATTTCTATTTTTCCCATGTGAAAGGTTTCACAAGGAAAAGGTCTTGTGCTTCAGCTACCCAGTTATGCATGGGAAGTTAGGCACATACCTGAAGATAAAGTTTTCCCAACATTTTTCAAAAGCTACCAAAAAAAATTCAATGTTTATCACCTTGTTAAAAAAATGGTCATATATTGCTAAAACTGCTTGCTAAGAAACATGTGCAATGCCAGAATGTTGCTTATTGATAGGTTGCCTTTTTGTTTGTTAATTTGAGTCAAGTTAACAGCTTACCATGTTCCTGAGAAATACAGGCAATGTACCATTAACCTGCACCATGAACCACCCGCCTCCCCATATTGCTGATATCCTTTATGGAGTTTACTACATGTGGCAGCATTAGGAAGCATCAATAGCTAGTTTTTAAGTAAAATTTAAAAAAAGAGATGGCAACCTTCCTATATGTATACATACACAGGAGATGCTTGGTCTTAACACAGTATAACTTGTTTCCTGACTAATGTGTTCTCTGTGAGCCTGGCCCTATCAACCATACTCACCAAATTTTCCCTCTGACTTTAATGGGAACTAGTCATGTATCTGGGTTGTGGGATTATCATCTTAATAGTATTCCTGAAACTACAGAAAGACCCACACTGCAAAATTCAACTCAAGTGCCAAAGTTTTGAGCCAATGTAACTCTTGCCTTGGACCATTATGAATATAGGGTTCATTTACCAGATCTCAGCTGTCCTAGTTTTGCAGTGGACAGGTTTGAGGTGTCTATATTTGCAGTTACTTCAGTCCCCTGGCCCAGTGTTAATGAGTAAAGGATGAAAATCAAACAAAACTCTAATTCCACTTTTCAGTGAATAAAGGAAGTGAATAAAAGAGGGGGCAGAAAGTATTACCTAAGAGTCCATAACTGAACACTAATCAGTTGCAGAGAAAAGTGAGATGCTGAGGCAATGAGGAATTCAGCAGTGAATCTTTTTACCTAGGAGAAAATGAAAAATAAACACTTCTGCTAAATTTATAAGAAAAAAAATAACAACAGCTACATGGCTACTCTGAAGTGTAAAGGAGTGTAGTAGAGGATGTGGAGTTGTGTTTGGAGCTATAGAATAGGTGGGCTGAATTGCCAAATAGATTTATGGACAGGACTTTTAACTTTCTGTCTTTGATGTCTATTCTTGACATTTTCAATAACATTATGGCATTCACAAGGAGTGGAGGTCATTTGAGGTTGATGCAGCTAAAGGTCATATTCCAAAGCTTGGAAAGTCTCTGTTAACTGCAAGATGCTGCATTTCAAACTTTAAAACACTTCATTGAGGGCCTTTCCTTGTTCCTATTGAGTCAATGGGAATTTACTACTGACTCAGTCAGGAAGGATTGGACCCTAAACTAGAAGTCAAATTGTGCCATTATAGAAGTCAATTCCACAGTAAAACAGCAAAGGGACAGGCCTTTGCCTTGTACATCTCTCAGATATTCCTGTACCCTGAAAGAGTTTGTAACATTTTAATAACTCCTTCAATTAACAAAATTAAAATAGCAAAATGCTTTACACAAAAAACAGTAAAACATTTCTTAAAAATTGCTTTAAAACAGCTCATTAATGTTTCATTTATTCACCAAACTAAATGAAAGCAATGCTTTAAAAATGGATGCTACATATGGATGCCACACACTGACAAGGGGCAGAGTACGTCCTCCATACACTTCATTTGGGGTTGAATGCTCTCAGAACCTTGCTGGGTTACATCAACTGTTAACCGTATGGAGAAGGGAATCTAACATCCAGATGCCATTAATAGGGGCTGGTGATAACAGAAGATTCTGAACAAACTGTCCAAAGGTAACACTTTTCCGACGTGTCTATGGCCCAGATCTACAAAGTTATTCTATCATCAAAGTTGCCTATGGTTCTGGGCATGAAGCTCTGAACAAAAGCTCTGATAGAAGATATTCTGAAGTAGCCAAAGTTCCAGTGAAAGTTTCAAATTTTTCAGGGGTGAGGTTCTGGGATGAGAACTAAGCTCAAGTAACTGGTGTACAAATCCCCTAGAATGATTTTTTCCCCTATTTATGTATTAAGTTTCTTAGAGAAAAATTAGTAGAATGTCTCTATTTTATGTTCTCTATCCTATTGAAAGAAAAGGGAAAAAAGAGCTACCATGTCATAGATGTATTAACTGATGGAACGATGACCCTTTGGGTAAATCCTGCTCCCATGTAAGCAAATGACAAAACTCCCTTTGACTTCATTGGGACCATGATCAGATCCTTTGGACCCAATTAAGAAAGGATTTAAGAATGAGCTGAGCTGGATTGGGGCCATCTGTGTTGACCATTTATTGTTGTTATATGGATCTGTGTGTACAAATGCAAACTCATTTCTAGCTACCAAGGCACATTCTGTTTCAAGAGGCTTTTATGCCTCTTTAAACAGAATATACCTTGTAATACACATTTTGTAATACTTGTTTTCTTTTACTGTTATAACTTTTTATTATTATAACATCCAAAACACTCTTTAAAACCTTTATCAGTGTCTTCTGTTTGACTCTAAACATTCTCCTGCTGTTTGAAATGTGCACATGGCAGCACTGAGCTGGTGTGGGTGAAACCAACTCATTTGCTTTTTATGTCCTGACAGAGGAAAAACTACCTCATGGGGAAAAGTAAATTACTTTGTAAAAAACTTCACTTTCAGTAAGCAAAGGTGTTAAAATGGGAAAGAAAATACAAGGAATGGTAAGGCAGGCTTCCTGCACCTCTCCAGCAATGCAGACAGCTATGTGACAAGGGGACTTTGCCTTGGGAGGAAGTTAGCAATGTTGGCACCTCATTTTAAATGTTGCAGCCAGGCTTCCAAGGGAGCCCCACCTGCAAAGGCTTCCTGGTAATGCTTGCTGGGGTTATGATTAAAAAGCCTGCATATAATCAGGGGCTGAGTGTTTTCTTTTTTGTTTTTTAAACCTGTCAAATGACCCCTTACTTCTTTGTTTTTACTTTTTTGTAAGATTCCATTCAGTTGAAACACAATCATGTGATCAGAAACTCAACTAACAATTAACCTAGATTGTCTGTTTTGACCTAACTGTGCTTGGCACAGACCCAGACGGTGAAGGCAAAGGCAGCTTTTCACCACCTCGGTGCTTATACTCCCTGGGCCGGCTGGAAACCAGTTCAGCCTCAACTGTAAATTAGGCCTGGCAGGCTTTTGTCTGGTGAAAAATCCCCCCCATTTCTACATCTGCATGTTTTTGGTTTTAACAAAACAACAACAACAAATCTCCCCATGCCACCTATTTCTTCCTTTCCCATTTTCAGTGGTAAAACAAAAAAGGATAAAAAGAAGAGACTGAAAAATCTATCAAAACCAGTGAAAAAAAGTGATCAATGTGAAATAGTACTATGAAACTAAAACGCTTTTGAGGTTTTTGTTTTTTTTAACATTTTTGTGATTTTTTTTTTTTCTGACTGGCACAACAGCAACATGATGATTACTCTACTCTCTGGCATTCCCAACTATCAAAGTTTTCAGACAGGTGCCTACAGATGTTCAGGGGCCCGCTGTAACTCATGGCGCTTTACATAAACTATCATGAGTTAGAAACTCCCCCCCACCCCACCCTGACCCAACAGATGTTCACCTGTTTGGGGGGAAATTGAGCCTGCCTGCACTGGCCCTGGCCAGCAGGTGAAGGTGCTCCAGCAGCCTCTAAGGAGGCTGCTGACCCACCCTCTCCCCAGTCCTGCCCCCCTTCCCCACCAGCTCCAGGGCTGCCAGTGGGGAAGGAGAGGGATGGGAGCAGCAGCAGCTGCCGGGCTCCTTTGCCTGGCGTAAACTGGAAGAGGGAGCAGAGAGTGGAACGAAGCCTCCTTGCCTTGTGGACCTGCCCTAGCTACCACAGCTGGGGTATTGTGGGGAGCGAGGTGAGGGGGCTCTGGTCCATCCCCCTTCTCCTCCGACTCAGGCTGGGCAAAGTAGCCCAGCAACTGCTGCTCCCTTTTCCCTCTGCTGACAGCCCCGCCCCTGTGTGAAAACTTAATCCTCAAGGGAACATAAATTCCCTAAGGTGCTCTAAAAAACAGTGACTTAATCTAATACCTGATCTGGCAAGGGTTAATTTTTCATGCAATCAGCCATTTGAAAAGCACTCTGCAGCTGTGTATGTGCCATGTCATTGCTATAGAGAGCTTTCAGGGGCCAGAAATAGGACAAAAAATGTCACTTCTGTCTGTGCCCAAGGCCATTCCAGGAACCAAAGGTCACTGGGTTATAGTGGTGTTTTCACCATGTCATCCCTTCAGTGGCAACACCCTGAAGATGTGGGCTGGGAAACGGGATGAAGCTGAGCTGCTAGCTTTACTCTCTACTACCTAATGATTTCTAAAACAAAGGTTCCACATCCCCCTTCCCAGATGCTCTGCTCTCCAGAGCAACCCTGAGGACTGGGCTTGCTCTCCGGATGCCTGGGAAATTGGATAATAGCTCATTTATACAGGCAGCAACCACTGCACAAGCCAAGATACAGCAGTTTTTTCTTTCAAAAATAGTAAAATTTGTCCAGTAAAGCACACCAGATTGTTCACTTCAGCTTTTGTAAAGCAGCTGCTCTGGATTTATGCTTGTTTAAATGATGGCAGAATCTGTCCTGTAGACCCAGGTCCCCCCTCGACTTAACTCCCACTGATTTCACTAAGGAGATAGGTGCCCAAGTATCTGGGTTTTAGTTCCTACTTTGTGATAGAAATAATATATATAATATTATTATTGCTCCCATGAACAAAAAGTTTCCATATTGTGAAATCATGACAGAAAAAATCAAAGGATTTCAGGCAATATAATCATACTTTCAGCATTTTTTTCCTCTATTCCTCAGGCAGCATTTTACAGCTGTCACTTTCCAAATCAGGCACTATTTGTAATATCTACTATACATTTGCATTTCCTGACTAGAATGTTTTAAGAGTTTTTTTGTATACGGTATAAAAAAACCCTACTTTCAGTCATTCATACCTCTTCGATCCAAGCCTGCTCCCACTGAAGTTAATGTCAAAGTTACCAGACATATCAATGGCAGTAAGATTTAGATCAGTCTCAAAACAGCATCTTAAAGCCTCAGTGCTACAGACCTTTATGCATAAATATGAGCAGCAAGCCTCACTAAATGGGACTACTCACAGGTATCAAGTTAATTGCCTGCAGGATCAGGGTCTAAAGGTGAATCGTCTTGAATAACTATCACATTAATTACTGAATTGAATTTACTTTAGCTAATTAATTACTTGCATTCTCCACATGCCTTGGGTAGAAGGAGGAAGACAATTTGCTTAATATTCACACCCCCAAAAATCTTTCTTATTTACATCTTAGATTTGCTGTGCACATTATTTGAGCTTGTAAAAAATATTTCTTCAAACCTTCTCTCACCTTGACTTTTAATCTTACCAGAGCAAAAATAGACATTTTAATAGAAAAATACAAGATAAAAAATACCTAAAAAATAAAATGCTAGCATGGAATGTCATTTTTATACAAGGAAAATCTGTTGAATTGCCTTTACTATACAAACACCGCACAGTATTAATATTTACACATTTTGGATTATACCCTGCTCTCACTCAAGTCAGTGGAACTTTTGTCATTGCCTTCCGTGGGAGCAAGATCATGTACTATACTACCCTTTCAGAGAGGAGATGATGGTAAAGAGAGATGAGGACAATAAAATAATATGAAGGTTAAAGGAATAGCAAATCCATTCTCAGCTACCAATTCTCCTTGCCTTATACCAGGGGAAACTCCCACTGAATTCAGTGGAGTTGCTAGTGATTTGCAGTGGTGTAAATGAGAGGAGAATCAGTCTTCCTATGCCCAGGCTTGATTTTGATACTATCCATAGCAAGAAAGAATGACTTCCATGAGTGTTTCCACCCTTTGCACTACACAAATTAATCACATTTTATATGGCAAATTTCTCCCAAGATTAAACTATATGATTCTGATCCTGCAGCCACTGAGTGGCGAATAGCCAATGATTTCAGTGATAATAAGATGTTTTTATTCTGATGATGATGCAGCAGCTGTGTCCATAACACCACATTTAATATCCTTGTGAGAGATGCAACTAAGGGAGTAGAAGTTAAAAAGAAGGATCTGGATGAGGCATCTCCAGCTCTAAGCACAGGACTGCTGCCCACAATAAATGTCTTAGGGTATACCCTCTCTGAACACTACAGGCTTCCTACAATGGAAAACTGTCTTTTTTGTTTTCATGAGATGAAAGGCCATGTGGCATCATGCAGTTAGTAAATCATTCCTGAGTTTCTGAAAGAAATTAAGACAAAATGACTCTACTACTTAAAGGAAGAGGCTCTTGAAGAACTCTTTCTTTTACACTGATGTCTTTGGTTGTGTTCATTTTCCTAAAGTTTTCTTCAGGGAGAATGGATTTTGTTTTCTACCCGACTTCTTTACGCGGCAGAGAAATGAGATCGAATGGAGTCTTCACGTAGCTGCCGATGCTTGCCCATATTACAGTCTTCCTGTTGACTTCGCCTCTCAATAGTTATTCTGTATTTCTTTCTGCATAAAAGGAATAGAATAAAAAATCCTCATTCAACCATAGGATAACAGGACTTCCCTTACAAAGAATGCCTATAGGGGACAACTGAAATTCTGTTGAGAAATGAGATGTGACAGAATGTGAAACCCTGGTCAAAGACTGAAGTAGTTTGCCTTGAAGCATTTTACCCTAGCCCAAGAATGCAGCGTAAAAGTTAACAGGCATTCTCAAAGCACTGAGACATTTCTTTTCTTTGACAATTTGTGATGCAAGTGATTGGCAAGTTTTTGTATAGTGTCATGGGAACTCTGCCACATCACTCTCTTCTAATGATCAAAGCCAAGTTACTTATACCATATATGGGGCCTACTGTCTGCACAATCTGCACAACGTATCCAACTCTTTACTGAAACCAACTCTTTACTTATTTGCAAAGAAGGATAATAGCATACTGGGCTGCATTAGTAGAAGCGTTGCCAGCAGATCAAGGGAAGCGATTATTCCACCCTGTTTGGGACTGGTGAGGCTACATCTGAAGTACTGTGTCCAGTTTTGGGTCACCCGCTACAGAAAGGATCTGGATGAACTGGAGAGCCCAGTGGATGGCAACGACAATAGTTAGGGAGCTGGGGGACATGACTTGAGGAGAGGCTAAGGAAACTGGGTTTATTTAGTCTGGAGAAGAGAAGACTGAGAGGGGATTTAATAGCAGCATTTAGGGATGTAAAAGTTTAAACGCATAGGTGGTGACTTTTCTTTTTTCTTTCGCCAGTGAGTGCTTGCAGGAGTAAATAAAACAAAACGAAACCAAAAATTGGCACTTTACATGTAACTCGACACATTCCTGTGCTGAGCCCCAAGCATACCCAGAAGAAGCAGTGCATTACTTCTGCCTGGCCCTGCGGCATCTATAAAGGTCGGGTGCTTTAGTGAGGCTTTTACGACACTTTCATCTAATAGCTGATTGAATCAGCTTTAGCTAAAAGTGCCAGAAAGCCCTGTTGAAGCACCCAATTTTTACAGATGCTGCAGAGCTGGGTAGAAGTAAAGCACCTCTTTTGGTAAAGTGTTTTTTGGGGGGGCAGGTGGGGGGGTTACATCTACAAGTGGCTTCATGGGTTCTGAGCACCTGCTAATTTTTTCAGTGGGTGCTTAAGCCCCCGAGCACTCATGGAGTCAGTGCCTATGGTGAAACATTTAAACAATAAGTATATTTATACCAGAAATGCACTACCATGTTAAGTTTAGCATGGGGCGCGGTCTGGCAGGGAAGGGAAGCAGTGCAGTGCCTGAGGAACAGGATGGTAGCAGGGCAGGCAGGGGGGAGGGAGGAGCAAGGAGAAGGGGCAGGAAAGGCACGACTTGGGGACTAGTACTCATAGTGAATGAGGTTAAAGAGGAAAACAGTGGGCAGCCTAATGACTTGTCAGTTAAGCAATTAGCTATAATTACAGCGCATCAGAGTAGACTCAATTAATTGAGTCTGCTGGAGTATGCTAATTAGCATGATCAGCAGCCTCTGGGTCCTTGCACTTCCACGAGCTTTAATTCATGAGCTTTAGTTAAAGAGCTGCCATCGTTGTTTTGAAGGGCAGGGTCGATGATATATGAGACACTATGTCCCCCCCACTCAACCCCAGCACCTTATGTGATTTAACAAGGCAGAAACAAAGGGGCATGAACTCATTGCAACTGTTCCTATAAGCAAAGTAACTCACAAGCCAAAAGCTTTGCTGGATCAGGCCCTAACACAGTGAAATAGAGTTAGGAGTACAAAACAGTAAAAGTGAGTTGTCTTCTGTGGGATTTTGCCATAAAAGACATGTTTTTTTTGGGCCCTATTTCCTAACATGAGTGAAATTCTTGAAAGGAGTAGAGAAATTTGGGCACCCCTGGGAGGTAGATGGTCTTAGAATCGTTTAGTAACTTGGACTAACCTGAAAAAGTAAAAAGCCATTAGCAATCCTGCCCCAAGCAAGGCACCCACTACGATTCCTGTGACTGCTGACTCTCCTAGGCCACCTGCTTGAGAAAAGAAAAAAGAAATGATCAGAGTTCACAGAGAGACCTGCTTGGGAAATGCAGATTTGTTCAATAAATTACCAGCATCAGATACTATCCAAAGTCATTCAGAATTACACAGGGCTTTCTGGGAATTTTTCATTTGGGTTGATCTCACATCAATTTATTTTCCTCCCTGTTTTACAAAGAGTTTAGGGGGTCAAACACACCCTCACAATCAAAATAACACTCTGTCACAATTGTAATGGAAATGTGTAGTACACAGGAATGCTGATAAGAGACTGGTCTGTATGCTCAGCTCAGTCATGACTTGGTCTAGGATTATAGTAGGTCACTGTTGTAGCAAAACTGGCTACAGACATGGGCAGCTGTTATTACAGGAGCAATCATGTTTCTCCTTGTTTAGCATCAAATCCATAAATCAGTCCAGGTGTACTTATCATCACTCAATGGCTTTGCAGACCTCAGCAAACCTGTAAATGAACCTGGTCTGAGTCACAAATTAAAGGCTGTGTCTGTGAAGGTTACAGCAAACAAATGACCATGTAAGCATAATTGCATAAATTAATAGCCAAATGGCAGGGTGGAATTTAGCATTGAGACATAGGCCTGGTAAGGTGCAGAGCAGAGATGCATAGGCTCAGAGGAAGCTTGGGGATGGCTCTCTCTTGACGAAGCACACGGGGATTAGGCAAGCTGCTGCACCATTTTTAAAGCCTGCTCTCTCCACAATGGGGCCTCACCCGGCATGGAGGGGTGGGGAAGCGTGGAGCTGTCTGTTTCACTGAGCCCAGAAATGCCCCTAACCCGAAGATGAATGAAGGAACCATCCCCATGTCAGCTGGTTAGGGACAATCTGGCCCAGAATGAGCATGTACATAAAATTATAAAGAGAGTGCAGCTAGTGTTTTTGATATTAATGAAAATTAAGGATATCCTCAAGCTGAAATATTTCCTTTCTCCAGAGACAGTCAGTAAACTTACATGATTTACAAGGTGTGGTGTTTGTGTGCTCTGCGATGCGGCTCTCATCTACTCTCAGCTTGCCATGATTCCAAGGATACTTCATGTTTGATCGAAATTCAAAGCGCCCCTGCTTTCCATAGTAGTCGCCAATCACCTGTGCAAAACCCAGAAAAGATGCCACTTTTCTAATGATTCGTTCCCAGACAAATTAGATAAGCTGAAAGATCCATATGCTTAGATCCTCTCCAGTATGTCCTGATTATTTACAGAACAGAATTCACAGTTCCACTGACCAGGTCATCAATTAATAGCACTTTATTGCCAAGGACAGAATGCTAAATGATAAATGTTGGACATGTCACTCTCTACACCCTCCTCCATTGCTATCCAACCCTGTACGTGTCTCTGCATACAGCTGGATGCTTCTATTTGCATTCATTAGGGCATGGATACACATACATTTTTAGCTGCTTTAAAAGGGGAGGGGGAATTGATGCTTGGACTGTCCAGCAGCCTACTACAGTCTAACTGTTAGGCTAGCCAAAGAAGTGAGCTGAGATGTCCTAACTTTGACTCTGAATGAAGCAGCGTTAAAGTTCCAGCTGTTCTGTTGCATTGCAAGTTGTATCAGTATTCTTTGATATCAATACAATTGTTACATTACTTTATACCCTTACTGTATTTGACTATAAAGAGGCAATCAGACCTGCCTGTAATGAGGCTATTTTGCTTTGCTGCTGTCTGTGCAAACCTTTTGATGGTTTTGGCTCACATGAGCTAGTCCCCCCTCTTTAGAGCTAAATTAACCCAAAATTCAAAAGGAAATGCAGCCAAGCCCACTACATTTTGCCTAGTTTTAAAGTGATGTTTAGAGTACCTGATTGTTCATTTCCTTTTGTAAGATTCAGAGAGGTCTACAGGCATGCATACTTTATATGCAGAATTTCAAATTGAGTTGCTAGAATTACAACATCCAGAATAGGGTTCTGAATGCCCTTAAAACTGTAGCCAAGGTTAGTTCTAGCCTTTTATTGGATGCACTGGAGAAATATATATGGCATGTTCAAATAAACCATGGTTGGGCCTGCATCACTCCTGTTTATTTCACCAGCACAACAGTGGGTGTGACTCCACGGTGAACCAGGCCCGACTTGTCTATTTACTTAAGATAGCACAAAGGGCTGCTTCTCTCTCCTTAATAAAATGCACACATACATCTTTTTTTGCCCCCCATTTATGCAATATGCATCCACAAAATAAACTGTGAGCATAACTCGGGGTCTCTCTATCCCAGATCTGTACCAGTACTCAGGAACAGCAGTTGGAGGGGGCACTTCATTCTGGGCACAGAGAGAAGTTACATTTGTCACGCAATCAGCCCTTTGAAAGTGCTCTACAGCCATGCCCTGACAGAAGAGCATGGCTGTGCAGTGCTTTAAAAGTGCCCAGTCACACACTTCACGCAGAAAACAAAATGAAGATAAAGGGCCAGATTCTGCCCTCGTGCACCATGCACAACTGCCAAGAAGCTTATCTTAATGGGAAGAATTATTATTAACTCTGTTGGGTTTCAATTACAGATCATTTCTTTCCCTATTCAAGTAGCTCATACATATTAATTCAGAGTGAAATTCATTCCAGATGCCAAAGGTAACTTAGGTCCTACTTGTACCTAAGTGATTTGACCCCTGCAGTCTTTCCTGCCCAGAGCTTGGGTGCTAGACCTGATGAACTCCCGAGGTCCCTTCCAGCCCTAAACTTCTGTGAATCTATGAACCCTGTACTGAGGACTTAAGACTGAAATGATACATAGTGCTTCTAGTGACTGTAAACCCAGGGATGAAATCCACACCAAATTAGGATCCAATGTTTTGTACCATTAGTGCAAGGAATTGAGTAAACAGGTGACATGGTGATACTCTAAACTGGCACTGTTCTAGGGCATCTCAGCACCAGACATGTGAGAGTACATTTATTTCCTTACCTCCTGTGTGCCTGTTTCTGGGTCGGTCATTGCAATTACTGAGAAATCCCCATATCGGTCCCCGTTGGCATCAATGGACACCTGCCCTGCAATGCCTAGGGAATGGCATGTGAGGAATTAGAAAATTAACTAGTTAAAATACCGGACCTTTCCAAGGAAAACAAGAAAATGAGCGGACAGATTTTCACAGACCGATATGACAGGAAATCTCATCAGTCTCCCGGCATTTTTGTTGGCATTCCAAAAGAAATTGTAATTTCATCTCAGTGTCTGCATTCCTAAATTCTTAACATTTCTCCTTAAAAAAAAAAAGAAAGAAAAAGTGAGGCTGTTTGGGGAATATGTGAAAAAATCTAATCCAAAAACCGGGAGTGCTGAAATAAAAATAAAAATGCATTTCATGCAAATTAATTTACATAGGGATGAGTCCTGAGTCAGCGAGCAAGGGATAGAGAGAGTGAAGTGCTCAAGTGAAGCTGAGCTACTGGAGCAGAGCTCAAGGAGAGAGTCTGTAGCCCCATGTGGTGGTAAACCCAGAGTGCCAGTATATCTGGCTCACTGCAATCTTTACTTGACTGATATATGGGCTTATATTGATGTAGTTTGCTGGTCCTATCTATTTTGGACTAAATCCTACCCTTACTTAGACCTCATCTTCTTCATTGCGATTGCAGAATTTGTCCCTGTGGCTTTTATCTTAAAGGCCCCAATTCAGTAAACCACTTAAATATATTCCTTAAATCCCATAGGCTTACCTCTAATTGTAAGCCCTTAACTGAATCCAAGCCATATATCCTAAATGCTCTGTAGACTAATATGCCTCTCTTTATCTTCGCTTTGTGTTTACTAATACATATGAACTTCAAAAGGTTAATCCCACTATAACTGTACACACACAGACTATTAACCAAAGGTTTACCATCCTGATTTTAGGTGTAGATCTACAGTAGGCAAACACAAATCTGATTCATGTTGCTGTAATGGAAGGCAGGATTACAGAGTAAGCATTACTAAAGGTGAAGCCCCCTACAGAGAGACAGAGCTTCCTTGCCTAGGTTTGTGAGGCTGTGAAATTAGGGAATTGTTATACCACATCTGACTGATGGACCCTAAACCAACACAGGGGGCAAATACTAAAACACACAACCTGCTGGCATAGGCCACCAAAAACCATATTGTCTGAAGTCAGCACCTGAGGTGGTCAAAACTTTCTGGGCTATTTTGACATTAAAATGTTTTCGATAGACCCAAAGGGAAATTAAAATGTTAAAAGTCATCATTTAAAAAAAAAATACTTCTGATTTAATGAAACAATCTTGTTTTGTTCTATTTTCGTTAGGGTGAAACACTTCATACTGACTACTTTATTTATATATTTATACTTTGAATTGGTTTAATAATTTTTCAGAGAAAATGTCTGTAAAACTGAAACATTTCAACGTTTTGATTTAGTCAAATCAGCATTTTCATATGGAAAACCGGGCAAACAGAATGGTTTTGATCAGTTCTAGTCATAACCGCTTTTCTGAGGCACAGGTATTCCCCAAACTGTGCAGGGGAGAGGGAGAGGGAACTAGAGAACACTTTCTTTAAATGGCATTCATGTCCAGTTGGATTTCTGATGGATCACCTACAGGGTGAGGAGCCATGGACGCATGCCAAGGGAAGAAGGTGTCCATGCGGTTAGAAATCTAAATGGTAGCACTTAAGTTTCCAATTACCTTTGCCTGCAACATTTCAGGCACTGAAGGAAGCCCTATTCCTTCAGTAAACTCTGCATGGAGGAAACACCTGGCTCCAGTATGGAGTCCCACTGGTTTCAGTACTAGAGTCCAAGGTACCAAGAGGTTAAGTTGAAGGCCCTTTTCAGTATAAGACCCATAATTACAAATATTTGTACCACACTGGGATGAGGAGGTGAAGGGGGACATATGTGTCCTTTTTGACTTTCCATGCTGTGCCCAGGCAGCTCAACATTTCTGAATTTTCAAAATAGCTGTGATGGAAGAGAGGTTATTCAGCAACAAGGACCTGGTTTTCACCAGCAAGGAAAAGGAACATTCTTTTCTCTTGGCTGTTTTTATGAGTAACGTAGTTTTGAGACACCATAGCACATCCCTTTAGTCCCACTGCTTGGAGCATGCGTCTTTATAAGAAACTTGAAGGAGCATATATTTGGCATGTTCTTGGAGGACTACAGCAGAAAAATCAGGGAAAATAAGATAGATGTTTTGTGCCTGAATATCAGTTCGTAGCGGCTGCTGTAAAGGTGCAGCCAACAGTTCCATTAGCAGAAGGGAATTCTCAGGGAGCGTGCTATGGGGTCCCAGGGATGGGAGGGGATGGAGTGGTGCATACCGTACTTTACCTGATTTTCAGCTAATTCAGGGGTTCCTGCAGGACTCCTGCAGCCAGCATAATTTAGAGCAGTCCTCAGGGTCCTTTAAAGTCACACTGGGGATCATTTTGACATCTGTTCTGCACCATGTCAGGGGAACAGAAAGGTGACTTGGAGTCATCATCTTCCACTCTCCACAGCTGTGCCCAGAGTACATAATCATCTCAGCTGGGAATCTGGTCAGTATGTTTTTGCTGCTACATTTTTGAGTCAATTGTTGATTTCTTATCTAAGGCAAATATTTTCTCTCTTAAGTACTTCCCCTGAAAACCTTATTAATGTTACACTAAAAGAGTAATGTATTGTAAGAAATGATGGATGGATCTGGTGATGCACTCAGTTTCCTTATTAAGGCCTTTACTGTGCAAGAAATTCAGCACGTGTGACTTGACATCACCAGGGTCATGCATGTGTGTATAATTATGCAGCTGCTTAAGGTGCTATAGAACCAGGACCCTAAATACAAAGGACAGAAAGCCACAACCCTATTTGCTGGCTGCAACTGAGATAATAAACAAAACTCTTATAAACAAGGAGCCCTCCAAGACTCAGAACAGCAAGGAAAAAGTGGCACCCATATGCTTTTATCAAATCCAGTGTTTTAAGATAAAAAACCTAAATGGAAAAGATGAAGCAATCTCAAGAGCTAATAGATGCACATGAAGCAAGGCTGGCTGCTGTAATCATTTCAAAAACAAAGAAGGAGTCTGGGAACATTATTGGCATTTCTTTACAAGCCTAGTATGGGTCATTAACTTATAAAGAGCTCCTCTGAGCAAGTAATACCTGTAGGGTTGTTATGAAAAAATGTCGAAAATGCTGAGCTATTTGAGCTATCTTAAAAATGTGTATGTTTTAATAAGAAGCAAATATTCCAACCTTTTTACCTATATATGCCCTAGCTGTACACTGAGTCACAGTCTGAACTGTAATGACACTGACATCTGGAATACTAGATTGATTCCTACCTTCATATGTCCTGTTCCGTGTCTGCTGAATAATTTTTGCTCCATCCTTCTTACTATAGCCATACCTTAGGACTTCGCGTAATGCCAGAGCATAGAGAAGAATGGCATCATGGAATCCTTCCACAAACATATTAACCTAAAAACAATACAACAGCATTTGTCACTAAGCCACATGAAAAAAATATTTATCTTTACACTGGATTAGACTCCACAACCCTTATGCAAGTTAGGTAACATGTACAGCTATAGTTTACAGACTTATTAGATTAGTAAAACTGGAGCCCCAGCTTGAGTTCTAGAAACCCACATATGGTTAGCTGTCTGTTTTGTATAGCACACCTCACAGATTGGAAAATATCCTCTCTTCATCATGCTTTTGGAGAGAGGAAGTTTTTTCTGATTATGCTGATGGATTTGTTTGTTTAATGATTACTCCCTCTATTTCTGCTGATTCTGGATCTTGCTCAACAGACCATCTCTCCACTAGCAAATGAACAACAGAGCGAACTGTTTACCCTGTACAGTAACATCCTCTGGAGCTGCTAGAAAAAAAAAAGTTTCCCATCTTTTATGGCTATTTCAGAAATGGCATGAGCTAAATGAAATGTCACTTTCCAGTACAAATTCACAAAACAAACACCCTGTATTGTAAAGCAGTGCTGCCCTTCCAAGGAGTGAAACTGTAATTTCATACTCTTGCAGCTAGATTTAAGGCTCTCAGCCTCTCTGTGCTTCCCCATTTGATATCAAGAAGAGTTATGAGCTGAACAGTACAAAAATGATGTGGGCTAAGTTTGGAGGGTGATGGTAAACTAAAAGAAAAAAAGTGTCTTGGTGCTGGATCTGGATATTTTCATTTTTCCTGGTTCAGCTACAAGCTGAAAATTGACCAGGAGGCCCCTGACAGATGTTCATTTAAATGCATCATGGGATCTGATCCCAACAATTGCACCTCCTGCCATATCACACGTGCATGGAAGGAGGCCAGATTCTGGGACTGGGGATCAGTTCCCAATTATACCCAACTTCCCAGTGGAGCCCAAGATTATAATTTTGGGCTCCCTCTGCATTGGCAAATTGAAAATTGGGTGTCCAAAGGCCCAGAGCCAGGGTTGACAATCAGCTGATTGTCAGGATGAGCCAGGGACAGCACCAGGGTCTGATACATGGAATAATTTTATGGCTTGTTTATTATTTTATTGTGCCTTGAATTGGTGCACATATAGCACTATTGCCAATTATGCTGTAATCACCATGTTAATCATACCATAAATGTAACATGTAGAGGGGGCCTTGGGGTCAAAACCAAAACGCAGGACTTGGGCACCAGACTCTGCTCTAATAAACGTGCGAGTAGTTTAAGTAATTTTTCATTGTAGTGGAGTAAGTATCCTTATGATTAGGTTCTTGAATCATGCTCATCTCTCCGGTTCTCTTTTCTCCCCTCTCTTCTCACTTCATGGTCTTTTCTATGGCCCCACAAATATATAATTATTCCATGTAAAGTAAAACAAGACTAACCACACCTCTGAATACCTGCTAGTTTGGTCCTTGAAGTAACCTCGTGGGAATTGGGAGATATATGGTTCATCTATTCAGACAAAGCAGAAAACTAGAGTCTGGGTAAGAACTGTAGTCATTGGCCAGAAAAAGGGTGCATCTTTATCAGCTGCATTTTGCGTAGGGACTGACGTAGTAGGTGTGTTCCAAATGCCTACTGGATTGGGCCCTGCCAACAAGAGAGGCAATGGGATGGCTAGTTTGTAAATGCCATCAAAGTTCATGCATCTAGCTTCTCAGTGTTGCCACATTTAGGAAGGGCTGGACATGCTCAGCATCAGGCATTCAGGCACCTGGGGAATTTTATTGATGAAAACTTAGGCAACCAAAGAGGACTTTGGCAGACTTTAGGTGCAATCTGCAATCCAAAAAACCCCTGTTCAGCAGCTGCTATCCTCAGAAGTGCCTGAACTCAGTGGGCACCTCTATTCATCTGAAAGTTTCCACACCGCCTGCATTTCTGCCTTCTGAATGTTTGTTCAACTGTCCTGGTCTGAGCAGTTTGATGCCTAGTTCCTATTGCAATCCAGTAACTAGAAGGAGCCATGCCTGAATCTCTGGAGGATCCTAATTTCTGTAGGAGCATTCAGGATGTCCCTAATGCACACCAACACCACTGAATTTAACACAGTTAGTTTCTTTCAAAAACACAGCTACCAAGGGAAGAAGTGGTGCTTACCCTTTATATAATACCCAAGCTTAGGAAGGGCACCGTGACAGAGTAGGTAAGAGGTCTTTTTATGATTCTAGAAGCATGAATTGCAAGCCCTGCTCTGGACTTGTGCTGAATACTGCCCCTAGTCAACCAGTTATAAATAGGCCATTTGGGTTGGGGGGGTGAGGGGTGAAAGGCAGCTGGATGAAGGCTGGCTGCCTCATTCCCATGATGTGTGCCACTGGCTGCAGAAACTGGTGTGCCTTAACCATGGTAGTCTTATGGGCTACTGGGCTAAGGAAGATCTGGGTTCCAGGCCTCATCTTCTTTCATCAACAGTGCACTAATAGAATAATTGAAGGGAAGAGCAGGTCACACCCCTTCTTGTGTGACTGGGTCACTGTGCAGAAAGACATGGCAAGAGAACCTGACTCTAAAGTCTAGAGCTCAGGGTGTTCACTGAGGAAAGGGGTGTCCTGGTTTCTGATCCCTGCTCTCAAGGCTATTTCTGCTTCTTATCCAATGGTTGTTTAATGGAAAATTCATGAACACTCTTGGGGGATAGCAAGTCCCTTCCTAGCTAAATATCCTAGTCACTAGACAGCAGAGTCAGGCTCTCCTCTTGCTTGATCTAACCCACGAGCCTTTCCAAGATGGTGTCCTAGCCTCAACAGGAGGGATGCAGGGTGGCCTCCCATTGCCCCGACCAACCTACCCTGTAATTTGGTGGTTAGGACACTTTCTTGGGATGTGAAAGATGTGGATTTCATTCCTCTCTGACTGAAAGGGATTAAATTTACAAGAATTGGATTTATTATGCCTGACAGCATTGCTGTGCATTTCTGTGCACACATGTGCTCACTATGCAAACCCTTTTAAAACAGGAGAGCAGAGCATGTGCTCTCCTGATGAGGGAAGAAGAGAGCATGCTTTACTTCTGGATAGATTCCTGCACAAGAGAGCCCCATGTTCATGACTGTCCAGAGTGCAGCCAGTATGAGTCTCCTTGTACCCTTACACCACTGCGTACCCATGACACAGCCAAGTACAGTCTTAAATTGTGCCCTAGAATTTTGTTTCTTACATAAAAAATGGGAAAAAAGGGGAAAAAATGGGGGGGGTGGGAATTAGGAATTTAAAGGAAAATGGCTTTGACTCCAGTGGAATTCATCATGTGAACACTTAATTGCAATAGTAAGGGTTGCACATTCTAATCTAAATTTGCAATCTCCCTGGATTCTCCCCGTACATTTCATTTTATGGTGCCTGAAGCCTAGATTTTAAACCTCAAGGGTTAGGAGCTGTCTTTTATATCTGTGTTTTGTACATAGCAACTTAGCTGTGCCAGTACTTAGCAAATGGCTACCTAAAAATAACTAATACCAGATGACACTGTAAATTACATTAGGAGCTTGAATTAAAGTCTGGACCCATTACATGGCAATAGGCATTTAAGCACTCTAAATTGTTCAGTGTTCTTCTTCTGTAAGCAAAAGCTCACATATCAAAACCACAACACATCCTGGCCTGGTGCAAAGTAATTCAGAATGAATTATCTTTTCAGCCAAAAGGAGGGTGGTCCCATTCACTCACAGTTTAGTTATACTGGAATAGTGCCTGCCAGTAGTACAACTGGCCAATGAATAAGCAAAGATTTGGGTTTGTAATGGGGTCTCTTCTTGATGCCTGGTGAAAAACACCCCTCTGCAACACATGCTACTGCTTAGAAACAATATTTATTTTACCATTAACTTCAGTGCATTTAAACAGCTAGAAATCCAGAAACACAAAGAGCTGTTCAAATTCTCTGAGTTTTACCTGAACATATAAAATGCCAAAAGATAATATGTAGTAAAGTAAATAAACACTCCATAGATAATAAAGAATTCCATAGTCAATTGTCTGCATTAAACTAATCAAGTTCTTTTTCATGTAATTGTACACAGGATATTTTTTCACCCCTTGAACCAGTTGCATAGTTAATCCTGGTTCTTATGCTGCTAGAATTAAAGTTTCTCTGACATCTGCCTTGGGGCTGCAGATGTTTTAAATCTCACCTGCGTTTCATTTAAGAAAACGTGTCAAACATTTGGAAAAAGAAAGCAGCCATTGCCATAAGAGAAGGAAATATTTCATATTTATGAACTTCAGAAGAATTCAGTGCAAAGTCTACAGGGAAGCTAAAGAGTAAAGCTACCAGGAAACACGGTTATCCTTACCTTAGGAGGAAGCAAGTGAGAAAAAATGGACTCTATAACAGCCATTCTAGGGGAGACTGTAAAGAGCTGCCTGAGAGAAAGTGTACTCTAGGCCAGTT